GTTTGCAACTGACTGCGACCGAGATGCATATTGCTTAACCACCTTTTCAGACGTTTTTAGGCTGTGATACAAGCGCCAGTAACTCAGTCTGTAATGCTCCAGTTTAATCGTCGAAACGTCGGTCTTTCGAATCTCGCCGATGTCGAATAAATCAGTGCTGTTGTGCAAGGGACGAAAAAGTAGATCACTAAGTACACTTTCAAATTGCGGGTGTACAAGAGCAACTGACGATTGATAGATTTTGCTTCGTAATTAATGGGGATCACCATTGCCACGTCTCGATGCCCATGTTCATTTGCCTCGTTTAATTCTATATTTCTTTTGACTTGTCGGCTCGTTTCAGCCGAGATGTCTTCCAACTGATCGCTGGCAGCCTCTCTGGTATTAATTTGTCACTGCCCAGGTACATCGGCAGTCGGTAGAAGTCATGCACTCAGCGGACAGGTCCATTTTTGTTTGTGATTTCGATTTCGATTGCCATTTCTTTCGATCTTGGCAGATGGTTTTGGCTACTGTCCACGCTTGCATGGCGTCTGCACAGAACGTTCGTTTGCCCTTCGCCTGGCTGAATGGCATTTCATCACGTGACGGCTCTGTGAAGTTTATGCTCCCTCTGAGCTTTCATCTGTGAGTTCAGGTACAGGCACGAACTCTCCGGCGATTTCGCCTCCGGACCACTGAGCGGTGTTTCGTCCTGCGAAAGAACTTGCTTATCAAAAATATTAAGCACTCCTGGCTCATGACATCGAAATGGGCGTTGGCGTCGCATCATATGTATCACGAAGGAAAGAAGGAACGAAAGTTAGCGATCGTTGGAATGTTGGTTTCCTTTGCATTTTCACGACTGACTGCAGTTATGGTTCATTCTTTCCTGGAACTTACACTGCTGCACTGATAGTTTATCTTTGCCATCACCCAGACGTATTTTGTCTTAAAGAGACAATCTACAGTTACGTGGCAAGTGTAGCATGTAGCCTCATATTTCCCAGAAAGTGGAACTCATTTATTTTCCTCCGTAGTAGGAAAGGCGAGTTATCCAACCGGGATTCGAACCTATGAACTCTCCTTTTTGAGTCTTACGCTTTATCGACCGAATAACTACAGTTTTGAAGGAACCACTAAAAAATAATATTAACCGAACAAGTAATTGAAATAAAAACCGACTACCCAGCGATCGTAAGCGTTGTTTTTCTTTCCATATGCCCGTCGTGGTCTTCAATCCGTGACCGTGGTGTCACCGAATCCTAACCGGTTTATGTGCCAGTAGCGCATTTTCGCTTCGTTCTGCACCTCTTATTACTTGCAGGTTTCCACGAAGGGACGCAGAGTTTTACCTTGAATTCTGCGACAGCTTGCTTTGCAGGTAGCAGTTCAGATTTTCATAATTTGCCTAAGAGAAAGTGCTCTGGCAATAGTGTTGAACTGAAAGATCAGCGACTTCATCAGTATTGATAACAGAAGAGAGCAATCTGAAATATATCCTTTGTGCTGTTTATGTTCTAAAGTGAGAATGGCGCCTATGAGTTTCTAGCCCGTATTTCGTGGCGTATACAAATGACCACACTCATTTACTGCACTGTGCACGCAATCGATGAGCAAGATTGGACATGGTGCCCTTAATATACCGTTAGAGGCTAGCGAACCGTGAATGCAAAGAGTCGTCTGTTAAGTTTCAACATAAAGATACGTCTTGGCGTAAATCTCTGTATGTCGGCTAATTTCTATTAAACTAGCTTGGATGCGGAACAGCGGAGTTGTCGAAGAGTTGAAGGTGAATTGTATACAGTGAACGATGATGCTTTTAGGCTGGCTATCTGTCAGACCGACGAGTTTTGCTGCCCTGATCGCGCATAATTGGAGATCACAAAACTTCACTCGCATGTCGGCTGACGCTAGTTTGCAGTGCCTATTTTTATGGTACGCTTAACGCCATTATGAGCTTTTTGAAACCGAACCGAAGTTGGCGTGGCTTGATCGTTTTCCGTTGTCTGTTGTCCACGTCACTAATACCGCGTGACAGTTACAATTGTACGTAGCCGTATCACTTCTGACAACAACTAACGTACTAATTAAAATAAGAGTACTATACTAAAGCCATTATAACGCAGTAAACCCACAGTAAGATTGATAGAAAAGGTAGAGACCTATACGTTCGGTTCTTCCTGAGTATGAGCTTGAGGTAAGCCGCGAGAGAACCTGATACGTAATTGCCTATCCGTTTTATCTTGTTTCTTATTTTGAAGTGAATTAGCTTTTATATAGCAAATTGCAGATTTTTTCG